TTTGAAGAGCAGCTGAACCACATTTGATGCCAAAGCTGGGGAGCAAATGAGGCAGCTGGGACTGTACATGGCTTTTCAACCCAACCGGTTTCGGTTTTTTGGGCAGGACGCAAAATTCACGAAGCATTGGCTGCACCTAGCATTGAACCTGAAAAGCTGTGTCAACTCCCTGCCCTTGAAAGCTAATCACAGAAGGCTTACCGAGCCAAATCTTACCCAGCCCTTTGTCTCGCTCTCTGTCTTGTCCCGTGCCTGCAACGTGTAGAGCGTTCCGTAAGTTTGCTCCAAGAAGTGGTGCGCTTCGTCCTATCCACACACACACGCACACATTCACACATGCGCACTCGCACACACGCACGCCACACGCACATGACATGCCTTTGCAACAACATGAGATGGCAATGGACCATTGTCAAGTCGGCCCGATTGCACCTGACGCTAAACACAGCTTGAAACGCGTTGAATCTGACAGGTACTCCGGCTGACACTTTGACGAGGGAGCAGAATGTACTTTGGCCTGAAAGCATTGAATCGAGGAGCACAGAATGGTTGACAGCTGTTTCCGCCGACAGCCTTGCTGGATGTTCTGCAATGAGGCATAGAAATGACATTTGCCTTTCAAAGGAAACCCAAGAAGCAACCCATTGTGTCAGTGGCAGCGCAATGACCAAGCCTGGGATAAACTTCACTCCGCGCCCCATGGTTGCCGACACCTGCAAAAGGGTGCCTTTTTTCCATGGTACCGAAACCCAAAGGAAAACCACCAATTTGGAGGTATCCTCTTTTGAGACAGACTCAAATGCTCAGGCATTCTTTTTCACATCGGCCGTCAAACTGGGCCAATCCCAATCCCCACTAAAATCAGTTCGAAAATGGGTGGTGAATTCACCTACCAACCAAAATGGGATCCCAAAACGTATTTGACCCACAGCCACATCACCTGACGCCACGTCTGACGACACACAGCTCAGCTCCTGGATCTTCTGCGCCTCTAGTGCGGCAACCTCATCCAGAGCCTGCCAGAACGAAAAACAAATCTCCGGAAGAAGCAAGAAAAACGCGTCAAGCGAACTGAAACTGAGAGGAACTGCAACTTGGGTTGATGGATTGATTTCCTACGCTGAGACGAAGCCCAAAAGCACCTTCTACCGCTCTTCTGCCATCGAATTTAGTGAACAGATTTGCCTTTCGAACAGCGATCGCGCGACTTCGATCAGGTCTGCATCTACCATTGCAAATCCGGGGCCACTGGAGCAACTGCACTGCAACAAACCAAGGTTCTGCATGGGCTTCGGTCCTGCCTGAAAAGTGGAATTGATGGATTCTGCCAGCTCAAGCTTCACCTGGCAGCTGCTGTCTAACCCATGCCACTTACGGATGGGTAGCATTTGGCCTTGTCGATCTCACGCATCATGGACTTCTTCATGTCCAAGAGATCTTCCTGCATGACTGGCAGATCAGGCCCCGTCTCTGCGGTGCTTGTGGTGATCACAATTCTGCACTTTTGCCGCTTCCTGAACTGGGATGAGCATTGCATAGCAATCGAACACTACTCTCCAAGAAGTCGAGCCCTCACAAAGGCAGCACATCCAACAGCCCTTAACTTCAAGACATGAGCATTATGTACATAAGAGCTCCAGCAGACTCCCCACATTGCAAGCTCATGAACACCAAGATGTCCAAATGGATGCCAGGCCAAGCAATGCGTGGGAGCTCAGCGCGAAACGAAGCGCATCGGAAACCCTTTGCCACTTTGCCGGCTGCCATCTTCACTCCATGTCGCCCTCTCCTGTGTGGAAAGGACCTGGGCAAGCATTCGACATGGAAAGGTTCTGAAGACAAGTGAGGCCAACGCAATCCGACCGCCTTGAAACTTGCCCTTGAATTCAGATCTGACAGCGCAAGTGTGCCAGTTGTCAATTCCTCTTCTAAATCTGGGCCCCATTTTGCAGCCAAGGCCTCTTGCAAGGCGCTGATTACTCCACACAAAAGCATGACATGGGTTTGTCTCCAAATTGCCTCGATATCCCCCCAAACGAACCCCAGTGATTTGCTCGCACTCCGTTTCCCATGCCAAGTGGCCAAGGTGGTGTTCTGACCCCGCAGCTCCACATGCCTTCCCATCGCTTGGACATGTCTCGAAGCTTGCAACGTGGCGCAATCCTTGTGCCATGCCTGTCTGCTTGCGCGGGTATGTCTTCCTTATGACTTCTAACAAGTGGAGATTTACAATCCATGGTACTTGGGGTCCCAGAGGCTCAAACATCAGCCAAAAGTGAGCCTGTCCTACTTGACGGATGCAGTTGTGCCCTTCCAAGGTGTATTAATTCTTCCTGCCAGTTCCAAAGCGGCCATTCTGGTTGAATTGTCACGTCTCTGCCTGTGCAAGGTCTCTACCTCCATCTCAGCGGAGAGCCTCGGTGCCAGGTCGAGATTCTTTCGGGATGGGTGTTCGCGTTCCCTGGTTTCCCTTTTTTCTGCTGAAATGCTGTATTAGCAATATTCTCTGTATTAGCAAAATGGTCTCCGAAAAGGCACCCTTCCCTGTGGAAGTACTTAGAAGGAAAACAATGGGCTTTATTTGGCCTATGGTACTTTTACATGAATAGATGCACTTCATTTCAACATGTGTGAAACGCAGACCCTTTTATGCGCTCAAGGAAAGGGTTTTCCAGGTTTGGTAGGTTGTGAGCCCAACGCTCTAGGCTCCATGTCGACGGAGGAGTTTCGATGGCGCGGGCGGCCCCAGGTAAGCCCTGATGGGGAGGAAGACCGTCGGACAGCGACGGGGGAGGAGGGCACCAAGGGCGGGGGCAAGGTCAGCTAATGGTGGACGATGAGACGAGTGACTAGGAGGATAGCCGAGAGGAGCCCTTCGCAGCCTAGAAGAACTGCAGACGATGCCTTTGGTGGCTCGGCACGTGGTCAGGACGCAGCCCTACGGCCTACGGCATTCAGAGGGAGCACGACGGCATCTGAGAACCCACAGCTGAGTCAGGGCCGGTCAAACGTGACCTCCTCAAGCACCTCCGGGAAGGCCTGCTCCACACCCTCCCAGACCCTTCTCCGGGAACGGCTCATCTCAGCCAAGTGGCAAGGCCTGCCTCTCTGAGTTTGACCTGGTTTGAGCTGCGATTGCGGAGCGCCATTTGGAGGTTTGCCAGTACAAATGGTTGAGAACCTGAGGAGAGGGCAACGCGCCAAAAGGGGGCGCAGAAAAAAGTGCATGTGAGTTGGACATGCGTGTAATTGACGCAGACCCGTTTATGGGCTTGGAGCCTTAAATGCGCCGGGAAGCGGTCAGATCCCTCTTCAGATCATCTGGATCATCCTAAGCCCCATCCCCAACCCCTTGGAACGCGACCATGTCGCGCGGCCACAACCCATTTTGCTCGGCGCTACCGACCGCACACCTGCAGCCAAATGATGCAACAACGCCTACGATTAACGGAATCGCAACAATCTAAAAATGCCGCCTCAACCAACGCAACGAAGCCCAACGGAATCACAACAAACCTGAAATGCAGACTCAACCGACGCCGTAGAAAAGACACGACTCCAAAAGCAGCTCTCCCCACGGACGGGTGTGGCAAAAAACAAGAGAACAAGGAAACAGCACGGAACAACTCTAGCGTGTGCCTGTAATGCACGGTCTAATCTGAGTTTCACCACGGATGTAGGGATGCGCACATTTACACATGCGCTCTGATTTCAACATATGCACACCGAGTTCAACATGTGTTTACTCGATTTGTGTCAGCATGGAAGGGATGTGTGCCACAGCAAGCAACATGTGCTTGCTTTCTGTGAACCTGAAGTGCGCTGAAGCCTTTGTGGATTGCCTATTGACAAAAAGACCTGGAGGGATCGATCGACATCGATCGACATGGATTCACGCGACCCTGGGGCTCACAGCGCTCCCCGCTCAGCGCGCTCCGCAAGGCAGCGGAGCGCCCAGAAAAGGAAGATCCTGGGTGGAAGGCTCGGTCAACACATGGAACTCCGGTGAATGCCAGCTGGGTGTTTGGAGCTTGCGAAAGCTGTCGGTGTGTTGAATAGTCCTGTCATCCTCGTGACTCAGACATCAACATGCAGGCAACATGTGGTTGGCAGATTGGCAGCGCTTTGTGGCCAAGATCGTTTCTTTGGGCCGCTGCCCTTGGGTTACCTTCAAAGGGACACTCCAATCATGGCAGTCCCAAGCCAAGACCCGGGAGCAGCCAGCCCATCGTGAAACACAGTTGCTGTCATTGCATCCGCTCCCGCCTCATGCTGAATCTGCGCCTGGGATGTGAAGCAGTTTCCGAAAGAAGGTCGCCGCTCTGCTGCCAACATCGCCACAGCAATCCATTTACCTTCTTTTGCACTCCACCACTGGCACAGAGTTCAAGAGCCAGGACACGTCTCGATCAATGTGAAGCAAACAACAGTTGCTGTAGGTGGAGCATGAAACTCTCGTAGGCTCGCGCTCTCCTTTTTGCTCTCAATGCTGGCAGTCTTTCGTTCTCTCTCTCTCTCTCCCGCTCTCTCTGCCCCGCCTTTAAACCATGGAAGGACTTGGAGGGTTCAACAAACCATATCGTTCTGAGCCAGAAGCGGCGTCAAGCTATGGCAAAGCACCTGCGCACGAGCAGGTAGCACGAGCCTCCCTTCCGCGGCCGGAGATGTCCAAGTCCATAGTCCAACCAGGTCATTGTTGGAGAGCATTGCAACGCATCTTGACAGGCTGTATCAATAAGGAGTTTCAAGACGAGGTGTTGCGCCCCCTTGTTATGCATATTATTTGTGGGAGACCCATTTGGGCAGAAAATCAAGCCAACGTGTACGTCTTTGCTTTACTCCCTCAGGCTCGAGTCGAGCTCAATACGTTTTGGCTCCCGCACAACGAAAATCTGCCTCCTGCTTGAAACTGGAGGCATTCTGTGCTCTCAGCTCGGCATCGGCTTCTCCAATATTGAACACTACACCCCCTAACTTTGCGGTCCAATAGAAACACGAGGTGGATCGATGCCATGCTGAGGTCACTAGGACCATGAGCCGAAGTGGAATCTCCAGGAAGAGAATCTGTCGGTTCCGACTTGTGTAAGTAAGGACTAAGGAAGGACTGTGTCTGGCGCCACGGCTCGTCAGGTATGAGCTAGCTGAAGATGGGCTCAGCGGGCCGTCACCAATGAACGGTCATACACCTGCGCCACGCAAGCATTCACAGCACCTGGCCTTGCTCAACCTCTGAATTCCCAGAAACTCATCGCGGCTCCCAATGCAGAACCTTCAGAAGGCAACGCTCCCAGCACCTCAACCAGGTTGGAGCTGGCTTTTCAGGGTTGATGTGTGGCACGGTCAGATTACTTAAGGGTTGATTTTCGGGTGTGTTGAGGTTCTGCGTTTGATTTCTGGTGGTGTTATGGTGAGTTTTGAGGGGCTTAGCAATCATTTCGGGTTGGTTTTTGGCGGGTGGGCTCCGAGTGGGAGAAGGTTTACTTAGGGTGGCATCAGCACAGAGGGTTGATTAGGGTGGGTGATGTATGAGGCTCGGATGGGTTCAGGATGGATTTCAGGCGCGTTCACGTTTTGAGGGTGGCGTTGTGGTGACTTGATCGGTTTGGGTTGATGTTTGAGATTGTTGTTTTTCCAGGTTGATTTAGGGCTGAGGTTGTTAAGGGTAGGCCTCAGGCTGGGGTTTTGATGAGCTTCTGGAGGGGGGTAGGATTGTTTTTGGGTTGGCTCCTAGGTGGGTTGCGGCCGGACTTCAGGTCGATCCACATCTGAGTCATTTATGTTGAGTTTACGGATCTCGGATTCAGGATTGCTTTTTGGCGAGTGGATTGGTGAGTTGGGGGTGTGAAGCGCTTGATGGGGCTGGGCTTTGGTGTGGTGAGGCTTGACCGGGTGGCCGGAAAACCGAGACTGCTTGCATGCACACTGGGTCAGGGCAATCTCCACGCAAGCAGCGCAAGGCCAAGGCAAAGAGCTAAGCAAGCAACATCACTTGAGCAGCGGCTGAGCAAGGACCTTCTCTCCCAACCTTGTCGATGGCTGCCAGGAATCTCCTGACAATGCACCAGCAATTCTGGAGACCAGCCCATGTGCGCACGAAGCACGTGGCTCTGGGCCCTCAATGTCTGTCGCTGAATTGCCGATATTTTTCTCAACAAGAGCAACAAACTTGACTTGGAGTGGTCTCACCAAAGTGACCCGAACGAGTGCAGCGGATGGATTCAAAACTTTAGCATGCTTCGCGGGCATTTGGCTGTGGCTCAAAAAACCGGTACCAAAATGGAACCCTGGTAAGTGGAAACATGGACCAAGACCTGCGTAACCCCTCCTGTTGAATTTTGAGCCACACCCATTTGCCATTGACCCTGCCAACGGGTCTGGGGCGCTGGCTGGTAGCCCTTCTCCAGCTTCTTGCACTCAGGAATCTTTTTGACCTTGTCCTGCACCGGATCCCCTTGTTGTCCCTCTTCAAGTGATCGGGATGCAGTTGCAACTGCCAGAACTAGATGTCATTTGCTTACGCAATGTGTCTGGTTAAGTGAAGTTCAGTGGATTGACAAGTCAAGCGGCATGTAGCAATATCACGAGAAGCACGCATTGCGTGGTGCCTGCGCAGCATTTCTGTCGCTCATTTGATAACCGTTGTTGCTTGGTTTGTGCTTGGTGTCCGCTAAGCTTGTCCATGTGGTTGGCAGGTCCATGTTGTTTATGTCCATGTTGCGTATGCATTTACCCGATCACCAGCTTCAATCTTTGCTGAGTGGCAAAAAACAGTGCTGGTAGAACATGTGGCAATATGGCAATACGGCAATACACGTGAAGTTGTATGAGTACAATATTGGCTGAGCAAGCGACAACTGCAAGTGTTGATCTTGAGTCAAGAAACGTTTTTGTTGCCATCATCCTCAGCAAATGAGCGCAACACAGACCAGACCAATCCAGGAGACAGGTCACACCAAATGGAAGCTGAGGTTCCAACTTTGATGCAGCCCTCGTTGAATTTCACTGCCCTGATGCCCTTGACGACCTTGGCCCATTTGCACGACAGCCACAAACCTCCAATTGCTAGCTTGCTTGGACCGTTAAACGGCAATCTCGGCGTTTGGGAGCTTGGCAGCCTGCCACGCATCGTTCGAAGGCCAAACGGAAACATGTTCCAAGCAATCTGCCAAGTTGCTGTGTATGTGCACTATATCTGGCAGTATATGCGGACTGTATAAGACACGCCTAGACGTGAGCGCATGACACTTGAGGCTGGCAAAAAAAATGAAAACTATGCATTGAGCATGGACACTGCCCAGCTGGTGACAACACCTTGCAAATTATAGGGTTTCCGGTCCAATCCCTCAGGGGTAAGCTAGACCTACAGGGATCTCAATGACCTCTGGTTTCCAAATATTCCTCAGCCCAGCATTCCTTCGCCCAGCAATGGGTCTTTGTCTTGGTGTTGTATGCTTGACATGCTCGAGGAAGCTTCACCTTGTCCAGCTTAGGTATGAGGCAAACGCCAGTTGTGATTGTGGTTCGAGAAAGGACTCTGCTTTAATACGCTTTGCAACTCGCTTGTGAAACGAGGGCAACACATATATTTTGATGGCCCCCGCGGAGCTGTCCCTTGTCACGGCAATGCTGCAAGCGGCGGGAAAGGGCGGGTACAGCTGCTCAGGTCTGCACATCCTCACGGGTGATCCCGATTGGCAGCATCTTCTCCTGGGACAGCCAAAGCAGCTGCGTCAAAAAACACCGACCATTGCTAGCAGTGTGTGCTACGCCGGTATCTCGAAGGGCGGCTGAGGCAGCTGAAGCCATATCTGGCATCAGCTTTTGCCGCACTCACAACAGTTGTCCGACCGAAAGTAACGATGGCATGCGTTGTGGGCATCCTCATGCCAGAATTAGCATTGGTCGTTTCATGGGCGCGTTCTCAGTCATGTGGACTGCTGCATCTGCAGGCCATTCCAAAGAGGAAGATTCCGCGGATGGATGGACGAACTCAGTATTGGTGTAATAGCAGTCCAGTTGAGGCATCATTCAATATTCGCCTCGGCCCAGGGCCGGCAAGCGGCTTGACCCCGGACCCCATCGCGCGGCCCAAAACCATGCTCCAGCTGCCTCAAGCCCGGAAGCAAGGCCGGGCCCAAGCCCACGTGCAATTCTCTCCTAAAACCTCTAGAAGCCAACCGGTCAACCCCCCCCCCTGGAAACCGGTCAAATTGAGACCCACTGCCGGGGGATATGTGTGGTCCCTGCATCTATTCTGCAAGAGAGTCCAACCTGCCAATAGTGGAGGAACTGAGAATGGATGTCCCTGGTCCTGTACTCTGTGGATTATTCCTGTAAGGCGCTCTGCTGTTTTTTTTTGTAATGGCTACATCTGGTCCAGTCAAATTTCAACCACCCTACAAACCGACTGTTTTCTGTGGCTCTCTGACTGCGGCTCTCGTTCTATCTGGCCCCTGAAGCCATGTGGAAACGCGCGAGCAGGCCAGCTCGCGCATTTCGGCGCCGATTCACTCACTCAAACAAACACAACACTTCAAGGCAAACCAAATGACAGTACCTCAAAACAAGCCAAAAGCATTCTGGGCGCGGAAGCTTTTACAACTAGTTTAGTGTTGGTTTAGCATTGCAGGAACCTTGGCGGTCGGTCTCGTAGAGCCAGTGCAACAAACACCTGTTGATGTGTATATATATACAGCTGTGTGTATATATATATGTGTCTCACGCGTAGAACAAACGTACGCACGCAAGAACCCTTCACACGCAGTCGCTCACGCGCGCAAGCACACACATAAGTAGGCATGCTTGTTTGTGTGTATGTCTGTATGCATGTGTATCTGTCTGCCTGTATGCCTGTAGTCCTGTGTGTGTGTGTGTCGTCTGTATGTCTGTATGTCTGTGTGTCTGCCTGCGTGCATGCATGCATGTGTACTTGAGTGTGAATGTGGGAATGTCGGAATGTATGAATTCATGATTGCACGAATGAATGCATGAATGTATGCACGCATGCATGAATGTATGCATGCATGCATGGACGTATGAATGTATGAATGTGCCAATGTATGAGTGTGTGAAGGTGAGAGTGTGTGATGAATGTATGAATGTATGAATGTGTGCATGTGTGTATGCATGCATGCGTGCATGCATGTGTGTATGTAAGTATGTATGTAGGTGTGTATTTACGAATGAGTGAATGAGTGAATGAATGAATGAATGAATGAACGAACGAATGAACGAATGAACCAATGAACCAATGAATGAATGAATGAATGAATGAATGAATGAATGAATGAATGAATGAATGAATGAATGAATGAATGAATGAATGAATGAATGAATGAATGAATGAATGAATGAATGAATGAATGAATGAATGAATGAATGAATGAATGAATGAATGAATGAATGAATGAATGAATGAATGAATGAATGACTGCATGAATGAATGAGTGAATGAGCGAACGAACGAACGGGTGGAATAAACGGAATGAATGAAGGAATGAAGGAATGAAGGAATGAAGGAATGAAGGAATGAAGCAATGAAGGAATGAAGGAATGAGGGAATGAATGAGTGAACGCTTGCTTGTTTGTTAGTGTGTTCGTTTGCTCGTTGGTATGTATTTGCTCGGTTGCTTTCTGCTCCCCTGCTAAAAGGTTAACTTTTGGTGGTTTAATGGAAAACCCATGAGTTGGCAAAAAGTTAAAGTCCTAACAGCCAAGCAAAACGCAACAAAGTTTGTGTGTCTCTGTGGGTCTGTCTGCCTGCCTGCCTTCACGCATGAGCGGGCTGTGTGAATCGGCGTCGCATGGGCCATTTAGGGTGATGCGCTTGAAACGCTCGGCTGCTGTTACGTGGTAATCGGAAATATTAGCGAGGTCAAATACAGATGTCATCATGCAATCCGGAAATGTTCGATCACATCCAGAACCAGTCTTCATATAGAGATGGTGACGAACAATTGCCATCATAGCGCAGGAGGTAGCCATGGCATAATCCATTCTTTCTTCAATAGGCATCCCCCTTGTCGTGTTCCACATGTCTTGACATGTCTGCACGATGCGGCTGATCAATCCATATTCCGGATTATAGACCCATTGCAATCTACTGTAAGTGTCGGCGAATTTGTTGGCATCGCCAGTGGTTGCGTCGCACTGGTAAGTCGTAACAAGTGGCATGATTCCATTCTGGAAATCGCTCCGTGAGTGATATTCGGATGGATATGGACAACTCCAACTGTAGCATATCGAAGTCCGGCTCGAAGAATGTGCTGACTATCGTAGGCCGCATTCGGAGCCTCAGTTGACTTCAGCAATGCTCCTCGCAATTCGTCGATCTGGGTCACCACAATTTCCTTGTTGCGCCCATATGTCTGGATGTCAGTGTGCGGTGGCAATCTCTGGCTGACATAGTCTGAGTCGAAGGTTGGCGTGTCATATTTGGGATCTATACAACCGATCTCGGTGCCGAGGAAACATGTGAACATTCCGAATGTAGTTCCCCAGTTTTGGGATCTTGTTGGGATGTATCTTGCCAAGAGTTCGACTCTGGCGCACTCATTGCCACGGACAAAACATGCGCTGGGTCTTGCAGACCAGGATTTGATCACGATGCCCTTGTGTCCTGTGAGGATAAACAAACGGATGAGTTCCTTGCATTCTTCGTCTTGGGGGTCGAGAAATGCGTCCGCTTCGTAGGCATATGATGCGAGCACTGTTGCGCAGCAACATTCGTGTGATCGGCCTGTCTCGCACGGGCATGCCTTTCAACTCTCTGCCGTCCAACTTCGGGTTCCTCTCGGGGTTCCCATAGTTCATTGTGAGCATGTTGACGGTCATGGAGGAGTAGCAGTCTCGTGCCTGGAACTTGTCCATCACTGGCCCTTCGGTGGCTTGCATCAAGGATCCGAGGATGTCCGTAGATGCGATCATCTTGTGGCCTGAGAAGTTTCAGTCCAAGTGGCAGTCGAATCGGATATCCGGACGCAGCTCTGTACTCTTCCATGGATGGCTTGTTGCTGCGGTAGCGAAAGTAGAATACTTCCTCATCAACATGTGCGTCAGGATTCGTGTTTCAAGGAATCAATCTCACACTGGTTGAGGTCCTTGTGAACATTCTGAGGATCCTGTTCATACCTTTGCGTGAAGTCCTTGAAGCTTGCCTTGGTGATCTTCAGTTCTTCTTCTGCTTCAGTTTTACTCATGTCTCGGTCGAGGTAGACCTGCTGGAATTCCTCGTTGAACTCGGCAAGATTGTCAGGATTGAGGTACTCCATCGTGACACCCTGCTTGACGACTCTTTCCCTGGCGGGTTCCAGGCTTAATTCATCATCATCGTCCCTGTCAGTGCAACGCCGTTTCTTCTTGGTCTCGGTGGATGTGTTCTTCTGAGATTGGCGCTTGTCTGGTTTGTTAGCATTGGCCTGTTTGAAGAAATCCTGCGCGAACTCTTGGGTCTTATTCCCCAAACAGTTTACAGTTGGGGTTCTTAATTCTTACAAAGAATTGATGCTGTCACGAGATGGTCACTTGTTTCCTTTTGTCTCCCCACCTGTTTCCTCACGCGCTTGCTGGGCTGGACGCTGTACGAGATGGTCTGGCTCGGCTTGATGCTGACGACATTGTCCGGCTCCCCACTTGTTTCCATTTGCCTCCCCACTTTTTTCCTCACACGCTTGCTGGGATGCTGTCACGAGATGGTCTGGCGCGATTTGTCTCCCCGCTTGTTCCCTCACGCGCGCTTGCTGGGCTGGATGCTGTCACGAGATGGTCTGGCTCGGGTAGCTCTTTGTCTCCCCACATTCCTTTTGTCTCCCCACCTGGTTCCTCACGCGCTTGCTGGGCTGGATGCTGTCACGAGATGGTCCGGCTCGGTCAGCTCCCCACTTTGTTGGGATGCTGTCACGAGATGGTCTGGCTCGATTTGTCTCCCCACTTGTTCCCTCACGCGCTTGCTGGATGCTGTCACGAGATGGTCTGGCTCGGTCAGCTCTTTGTCTCCCCACTTCTTTCCATTTGTGTCCCCGCTTGTTTCCTCACGCGCTTGCTGGGCTGGATGCTGTCACGAGATGGTCTGGCTCGGTCAGCTGTTTGTCTCCCCGCGTGTTTCCATTTGTCTCCCCGCTTGTTTCCTCACGCGCTTGCTGGGCTGGGTGCTGTCACGAGACGGTCTGGCTCTTTGTCTCCCCACTTGTTTCCTTTTGTCTCCCCACTTGTTTCCTCACGCGCTTGCTGGGCCGGAAGATGGTCTGTCTCGGTCAGCTCTTTGTCTCCCCACTTGTTTCCATCTGTCCCCCCACTTGTTTCCTCACGCGCTTGCTGGGCTGGATGCTGTCACGAGATGGTCTGGCTCGATCAGCTCTTTGCCTCCCCGCCTGTTTCCTTTTGTCTCCCCGCCCGTTTCGTCACGCGCTTGCTGGGCTGGATGATGTACGAGATGGTCTGGCTCGGTCAGCTCTTTGTCTCCCCACTTGTTTCCTTTTGTCTCCCCACTAGTTTCCTCACGCGCTTGCTGGGCTGGATGCTGTCACAAGATGGTCTGGCGCGGTCAGCTCTTTGTCTCCCCACTTGTTTGCATTTGTCTCCCCACGAGGTGGTCTGGCTCGGTCAGCTCTTGGACTTGCCACTTGTTACCATTTGTCTCCCCAATTGTTTCCTCACGCGCTTGCTGGGTCAGCTCTTTGTTGCTTTGGTCTCCCCACCTGTTTCCTCAC